AGTTATTTTTTGGATATTGTTCTATCTGTGTGAATATGAATTACCTTTTTTCTGAGCATTGATAAACAGATGAATGGATGGCATATGTACAGATTAAAATTTTATGAAGAATTACTATAATTTAGACTTCTTGATGAATTGTTTCTCACTTGTTTCACATTAAAACTGAGCATCTTCCAAGGTTGCCTTTGTGCTCTCTGATGATCAAGGCCTTACAATTACAAGGGAAAGCTTGGAATTGATTGTGAGGCTCAGGCTCCTTCTACAATGCTATATAATCCAGATTATCACAGCAGATAATCCACATTATCTGCTTTTAACTAGATTATATTAGTCTAGACTGTCATATAATCCAGTTCAAAGTAGATAATGTGGATTTTATATGGCAGTGTAGAAGAGGCCTCAGTCCAAACTCACAACATAGTTGCTGCTCCTGCTCCTGAGGGAGGCCTGCCTGCAGGTACGTTTTCTTAAAAAAACAAAGGATTTATTGCATAAAATAACAACTAAAACAGAAAACATTCTGACTAACATGAAACTTTTTTTTGCCTTGGAGAACTCAACTATAATACTATCTTAATATTGTTATATCCATGTCTTAATATTGTTATATGGATACAAAGAATCATAGAGTTGGAAGAGACCTCATGGGCCATCTAGTCCAACCCCCTGCCAAGGAGCAGGAATACTGCATTCAAAGCACCCCCGTCAGATGGCCATCCAGCCTCTGTTTAAAAGCCTCCAAAGAAGGAGCTTCCACCACACTCCAGGGCAGAGAGTTCCACTGCTGAACGGCTCTCACAGTCTGGAAGTTCTTCCTAATGTTCAGATGGGATCTCCTTTCTTGTAGTTTGAAGCCATTGTTCCGTGTCCTAATCTCCAGAGCAGCAGAAAACAAGCTTGCTCCCTCCTCCCTATGACTTCCTCTCGCATATTTAAACATGACTATCATGTCTCCTCTTAGCCTTCTCTTCTTAAGGCTAAACATGCCCAGCTCTTTAAGCCGCTCCTCGTAGGGCTTGTTATCCAGACCCTTGATCATTTTAGTCGCCGTCCTCTGGACACATTCCAGCTTGTCAGCATCTCCTTTCAATTGTGGTGCCCAGAATTGGGCACAATATTCCAGATGTGGTCTAATCAAGGCAGACTAGAGGGGTAGCATTACTTCCCTAGTTCTAGACACTATGCTCCTATTGATGCAGACCAAAATTCCATTGGCTTTTTTTGCTGCCGCATTACATTGTTGGCTCATGTTTAACTAGTTGTCCACGAGGACTCCAAGATCTTTTTCACACGTACTGCTCTCGAGCCAGGCATTGTCCCCCATTCTGTATCTTTGCATTTCATTTTTTCTGCCTAAGTGGAGTATCTTGCATTTGTCACTGTTGAACTTCATTTTGTTAATTTTGGCCCATCTCTTTAATCTGTTAAGATAGTTATGAATTCTGCTCCTGTCTTCTGGAGTATTGACTATCCCTCCCAATTTGGTGTTGTTGGCAAACTTGATGATCATGCCTTCTAAGAAATGGGTTCAAATTACAGGAAAGGAGATTCCATCTGAACATTAAGAAGAACTTCCTAACTGTGAGCGCTGTTCAGCAGTGGAACTCTCTGTCCCGGCATGTGGTGGAGGCTCCTTCTTTGGAAGCTTTTAGACAGAGGCTGGATGGCCATCTGTCGGGGGTTATTTGAATGCAATTTTCCTGCTTCTTGGCAGGGGGTTGGACTGGATGGCCCATGAGGTCTCTTCCTACTCTTTGATTCTATAATTGAGTCCTAGTTTCATGGGCAGCAGGAAACAAGCCTGCCTGCTCCCTCTTCCTTATGGCATCCATTCACATATTGTCAAAGCTCTCATGGCCGAAATCACTGGGTTGCTGTGAGTTTTCCAGGCTGAATGACCATAATCCAGAAGCATTCTCTCCTGAGGTTTCACCTGCATCTATGACAGGCATCTTCAGAGCTTTGTTCAGAAGTTGTGTGAGAATGAAGCAAGTGGGATGTACATATATCTGTGAAATGTCCATCACATTTGCCTCAAACTGACAAGAATTCGTTCTCCCATCCTGGACATTCCACAGATAGATAGATAGATAGATAGATAGATAGATAGATAGATAGACAGACAGATAGATAGATAGATACACACACACACATCCCACTTGCCTCATTCCCACAGATCCTTATAACATCCTTTCACATATTGTTGAAGGCCGGAATCACTGGATTGCTGTTTCCCAGTCTGTGTGGCCATGATCCAGAAGCATTCTCTCCTGACTTTTCACCTGCATCTATGGCAGGCATCTTCAGAGGTTGTGAGGTCTCTGAAGACCTCACAACTTCTGAGAATGCCTGTCATAGATGTAGACAAAACGCAGCCCAAAATCCCATCGGCTTTTAAAGCTGTTTTTGGTTCATGTTCAACTTGTCTGCTAACACTCCAAGATCTTTTTCACATGGACTATTGTCAAGCCAGGTGTCACCCATCCTGTATCTGTACATTTCATTTTTTTCTGCCTAAGTGTGGTATCCTACACTTAGGCAGAAAGCACCTGGCCCACTCTTCCCCTTTCTTCCAACTTCTTTGATTTTGGCCCCAGACCACTCCTCGCAATCTGTCTTGTCTTTTGGAGGAAACGTTTCAAGCTGTTAGAGCATCCTGCCTGTTTTTCCCCATCTTCCGCTTCTTCCTCCCAAGGTACACTGACATCCCTTCAGGTCTTCAATAATCTTCAGTATAAATGAAAAGTTCAGACTTGTCCTCAAAAGACCTCTTTAGGGAGGAAGTGTCATGTAAGTACCCCTGTGGGAGTCTCCTCAAATGTGGTGGAAGCTCCTTCTTTGGAAGCTTTTAAACAGAGGCTGGACGGCCATCTGTCGGGAGTGCTTTAGTTGTGCTTTTCCTGCATGGCAGGGGGATGGACTAAATGGCCCGTGTGGTCTCCTCCAACTCTTGTGTTTTGGGGGCTCCTTCTGTGGCGCTTGGGCGGTGCTTTGCTTATAGAATCATAGAATCATAGAGTTGGAAGAGACCTTGTGGGCCATCCAGTCCAACCCCCTGCCAAGAAGC